CAGGATCATTTAGTGGAATTGGCCTAGATCTTTTTAGGTTATTTTGCACCATATTGTTGATACTGGTTGGAAATCAGGCTCACAGCCTCAGCAGTAACTGAGCAGGTAGATATTGAGCTGACTTGCGGTTTGCAAAGGCACGTTCCTTGGTTGAGATTGAGCTGTGTTGAAAAGACTCCCTTCCTCTCATTCCCCAGGAAAATATAAGCTACACAGCCCTTCAAGGACAGTGCAAGCCCAGCAGGTGCCTTACTGCACTAATCCCCTAATTTCCTTCAGGCTCAAAATAATTCCTTTGCCTGGATTTACCTCTTACTTTTTATGACCTAGGAGGTATAGCATGTGATGGGTTTTAAGCTAAGTAAGAGTTTCCAAAATATCGGGGCTTGTTGCTCATTTGATTTGGAGAACTATTGTGACAGTGTGAAGAGAATAAGAAAAGAAAAAAACAAAACCCAATGTGAACAACCCTTTAGAATATTGAGAACTAGGCTCTTAATCATATTGAAACTCTGAGCAATGATTTCACTGGGATTTTAAATTTTTTTCTTTCAGAACATTTGGCCTGAGCAATCATTTTTGGATGTTTTAATTCAGCTGCATTTTGTTTAAAGTGCACTCACAGCCTTTTATTAGTTTGCTCTTGTATTTAAATGGTGTAGCAATAGTTTGTTGTGACTTGATTTTACTCAGGTTGAGTTTACCTTAACTGAACATGCTCTCTCCAGAGGTAATGGCAGAATGCAGCACAGCTGAGGCAAGAAAATCTTGTTCTGTCACCAGTGCAGTAATATACCTTTATCTTGGACTTGGCAGTGCTAGGTTTATGGTTGGACTTGATGATCTTAAAGGTCTTTTCCAACCTAAGTGATTCTGTGATCTCATTTGGTAAATATTTGGCTGGTTAGGTAGGACTACATGTATTCTTTGGCAGATCTACATGCATGAACATCATGATGGCTAGTATACCGCTCCATAGCGATGTACAGGCTCAGGTCTTGTACACTGTATGCATTACTTATATCTAAATATGGTGCATTTGGTATGCCATAGTTGAGAATTTTAAATAGCAGGTCTGATAATGAACAGGCAAACTTTTACTTTCCTCCACTTTGAGGCAGATGCAGTAATAGAAAGCTGATCCAAATGAACCCCACGTGACGATGGATTACTGCAGATATTTCAATGGGAAAGGCAGTAAGTAGATTAATTAAAAAAAAAAAAAAGGTAAAAAACCCCCTTGAGTTGGCTTTCCAGGGTTGCCAGTGAGTACAAGTGACATTGTTGGTGCTGTCCTTGCTACAGGGGTAACTAAGAGGGAGTGGAGGGGTTAGACTGGGTAGTCAGCCATGGTGTCTGAGCAAGGCTGTTGCAGAGAAGGGGAGGGTGCCTGTCCTCCATGCCCACTGTTGGCACAGTAAGGGGTGATGATCGGTCACTGTGGAAACGGAAATTCAGATCAGGCTTGGGGATGGGGATAGGGGACCCTTGAATGGTAAGGAGCAGGGTGCTGGGGGAGGTTTGCAGTAGGGATGCCTTTTGGAGCAGATTATGCCAATGTGCACTTACTTTACACAAGTAAAGTGGATCCTGCTCTGGGGACAGAGCATAGACTCAGTGGACCTTTGGACCTCTGTCCAGGACCATTATTTGTGTTGGTGATGTGCTGGTGAAATGTTAATGGGATGTGCAAGACTTTTGTTCTCCATACTATTCACGTGCTGTGAGGTCAATTCAGTCCTGTGATACGCCTGTTACTTCAGCTTTACCTCTCTTTGGCAACTTAAGTTCTGTTCCTCTTCAAGTTACACAGGCCATGTTTTGGCTTACCTCTTGTTATTTCTCAAGTAAAATTTTTCCAAGCAGCAGATTTCTTACTACTGTTTTTACTGTTAGAGTATTAAAACTTCAGGGAGCGCCTGCTGCAGCCTTGATTTCATAACAAGCGATCTGTCTGTGCCCTGCCATGGTTACACCGTTGTCTCCATGTTTTATCTTTTAAGATTGCACACTTTTCAGAACATGAAAATTTTATCATACTCTGTAAAACACTGGGTAAATGTGCAGCACTATATAAATAAGATTTGATAATATATCAGGTGCACAATGTGCATTTTCAAGTACTGTGCGTGATAATTTAACAATACGTTTGGACTGCTCTGCTGTGAATATGTACCAGTAATTGCCTGTGTTTTTTTGTCTTGAGGGTGGGGTTATCGGACCCAGAATTTGTATTTCTGGTCTCTGTTCTGAGAGATAACATCTAGGTAAATCTAGACTTCAGTATGAAAAAGGGCTTCAGGATTGGTAAGCCAACAGTAGGAGCTCCCTCATGTCACTCTCAGTGTGTCTGCTTTTTCCCAGCAGAACAGAAGATAATGGAAGTCTTGAGTTTTGTAAGACTTTGTGAGGTATGACCTATAAATATCAGCACCCTCCCATCCTTTAAATAGTTAGTAGTATAATTTTAATTTCAAGTTAGCACTGAGATTGTTATCAGACATGATGATCCCTTACATCTGGTGAATTTTCATTGGAACAGTATTAGTTATGGTGGCATATTTATTGAAAATGGTGGCTAAGAAATCATACTGTCTTATTACAGAAACCTGTTACTAAGCCTCAGTTCTGAAAGGAGCACTTGAAAGGAAGGCTATGGAAGCATATTGTTTCTTTTAAAGACATACACTCATTACAACTTATTAAGAATTAACTTCTATATGACACTATATGCAAGTTGCCAGTAATAATCAAAACTACCTTCTAGCTTTAATCAGCTGTCAAAATTCACATAGCTAGAATGATGAATTAACATATATTCTATTACAGGCTGGGCTTTGGTTATTCCTGTTTTCTGTTTAAAGTTGGATTGACCTTCAGAAAATTGTGTTCATCTGAGCTTTGCATGAGTGAATCCACACAATACGTCACAAGAACTATGAAGATGTTGCAATCAGGAGGCTTTGCTGCCTGCCAAGTTTAGACCAGCTACTTCCCTTCAGGGACTCTTAATTACCAGTAGTAAGCAGGGCTTGGGTGTTTCCTACACACAGTAACTTACTACTCAAATGTTGTTTATCTCAGAGGTAAATATATGTAACAGGTGGTACAAAAATAAATACATCTCCCTCAAAGCAAAATAAGACCAGGAAAATCATTAAGGATATGAAACAACAAAGGGGAAGCATTGTATGCTTTTGGAAGCAGAGAGCATATTTCCTTTATTTTAAGAAAATACTACTGAGGATTACTTGGTGGTTGGTTGCTGTGTTATAAATAATAGCAGAGGGAGATAGAGAAGGCAGCTTTCTCTTCCCACATTAATAACCACCCTGATCAACCTGCTGAAAAGCTTAGGCAAGGTCAATTGACATGTCATTGGCAAGGTCATTGACAGGCCAATAGTCATAGTAAATCACAAAGGCTTGGGGGATTCTTAAGTGTTTTCTTGGTGTTTTGGTGGAATTCACCACATAAGGTAACTCTTTAAGATTCTTTTTCAACAAAGGATTTAAAGCCACTGGCATAAACCTGCCTGAACTGTGAGCAGTAGCCTGTTACACATTGATAGTGGCCCCAGCACTACAAATTGCATGTGTGTGTGGGACTTCACGTACACCAGTAGCCTCAAGGGTAGTAAGTGCATGAGCAAAATGTAAAACCTGTTATGTGCATACTGAGTTCCTAGGGTACCCAAGCAGCTTCAGGCAGTCAGAGATCACTGTGCTGTTGACCAAAGCTAAGCTGTGTAAGAGTTGACAGGTTCTCTAAAGACATGTGTGTAGATTTGGCATCAGACCCTCTCTCCTGCAACTGGAGTTTATTACAGTTACACGATTAAATGGGTGAGGATGTTATTGAAATCCTTGTCCATAAGCAGGGTGAGGTTTAGAGAAGACAGCACTTGGCGGTTGTGCTGTTGTTGTACGAGGGCAGAAGTCACAAGCCTTGCAGGGCAGCGATGCTCTTGTGTGCCCTGTCCCTCCCATTCTCTGCAGGTTTCTGCTGGTGGCAGGTGCTCACAGGGCTGTCCTGGTGGACTTGCGTCCTGCCCTGATGTTTCTACTTTGTGATTGAATGGCATTTGAAAAGTGCAGTACCAAGGCTGCAGCAAATTGATCTCTTGTCTACCCGCACATCCAGTTCAGTAAGGACAATCAGTAGAGATCTTCCCCCAGTAATATGTCCTTATTAAACAGTTTCTCTAAAATGAGATCTAATCAGTCCTCAAGTCCACTTGCTTCCTGCCCTCCCTGCTCGTCAGTAGCAACAATGTTTGTGTTGGTGGTTGTTGAAGAGTAGACAAGAGCAGTCAGGAATCTTTTGGTTGTTAGATTAAATTGAAACCCCATTTGCTTTTACATGGAATGTGAATTCACATTCATTACAAGAACACTTCCTTTTAATAACAATTTTAAAAATATGTATAAACGTGCAGTTTTCTTGTTTTGACTGCTTTAATGTTGGCACAGATTGCTCCAATGGGTGGAGAACAGAAATCAACCAACCTGATGAATTGCAAGGTGTAGTTCTGGCGCAAGGATACTTTTCCTGAAATTCAACTATTTGCACTTTAAGCACAGCCTTATTGTTTAACTAATTGCTCCAGCGTTTAACTAGTTCAAGGCAAACTTTCTGCTTCAACCGATTTTGAGTGCCGCCTTTTACCTAGGAGCTCATGGGTATTAAGTTGTATGTGGCCTAAAAGTTGCTCAGCATATTCAGAGGTGCAGAATTTGGGGAGGAAAATTTTGTCTTCTATGATCTTAAACAATACAAAGGAACGTAGTTTTCCTGTAGTAGCAAGTAATCTCACTTCTAGTATTGGTTTATAATTCAGTGTACCGCTTAGCACAGCACTGTGGTATGTAATTAACAGTTTACTTTGCTGCTGTTACCCCACAAGTTGTGCAGATATTTAACAATATTTGAAAGCATTTTATATTAAACAAAACCAAGCAATACAGAAATTTGTCTCTTGAATGGCCTTTGTTGTCTTAACATACATATTTTGTATCTGCCTGGATATTAAGTTAATTATGGGATAAGTCTCAAAAGATAAGGGGAACTGTAAGGGGCTGGACATGTTCCCAAGTTCCTGAACTTAAATTTTTTTATTAGCAAGAATAAATTTTTGAAAACACACCCAAAATGCATTATAGTTGCTTTTAAGCTTGATAGAAAATGCTTTAAAATTATTTTGAAGTATCGTGGATACCATCACATTTTTTTTTTCTCCTGTATTCATGGTAACTTTCTGATATTTTAAAACCTTTCTGTTAGCAAGACTTAGAGTGGTGGCAGTAGAAAAATCATTTCACTGAGAAGTAAAAGATTTAAAATTTGGACTCTGTGGGAGACAAATAGAGCTTAAGGTATGAGATCATGGATCCTCTAGGAAAAAAAATATTCTAGCTTCAGAAACAGAGTATCACCTCCCTGTGCATACCAAGATGGCTCTTGCTGCCTTTGCCACCAGAGAGGTTGCAGGATCTTATATTGACTATAAAACTAAAATTAAAATCACTACAGGAAATTTGGTTGAGGGTAGAAGATATTTCTGTAAATCTATGAAGTCTTCACAGTCTTTTTTCCAGGAACAGAGAACTAGAGTACCTACCTCCCTGCCTGCCTGCCACCCACACGCATGTGCACACGCACACAAACCTTTCTTATTTTCCAGTCCCCAGGCATATGTTTTGGCAAGGAAGCCTGGACGATGCAGTCAGTGGTGTGGCTACGGTGCGTTTGGAGCCACAGCCCTAAGGAACTGCAGTGTCCTTGCAGGCCTGTCCATTTGATCAGTTTGGTTAGAAACAGCCTAACATTCGTGGCTGCGGTAGTGTGATGAATCAGATTTAAGGAGATGTCTTCCTTTCGTGAGCACAGTTTCTCCAGTTTTCCCTGGCGTTAAGATGACTCGGTGCGGAGAGGGAGAATGGTTGCTCTGTGAGCATCAACAAAACATTTCTGTGCAGGACTTCTAGTACATTTTCATAGAATGTTTCCTGAAATGCCATGGTTTGTGGTCCATTAATGTGAAGTTTAGTCCCTACCCCTGTTCTGAAATATAACAACAAAGTCCCAAGAAATCAAAGTGAACAATAGGGGGTTTTTTTAACCTCTCAGAATGGTCCAACCCTGATAGCAAGGCAGTAGCTCCCAGCTCGGCCTTTTGCAGACATGGTAAGAGGCCTTGTGCTGTGGGAGCAGCATTTGTTCTCAGCAGCTATTTCTCCATCATCTGCAGGGAGAAGCCTGTGGGCTGCATGGAAGCCTTCTGTGGCCACCAGCTGGACCACGCTGATCATGCATGAACATGCTTGTGCTCTGCTAGACTTTGCCTCCGCTCTTTCTCCTAGCCTCTCTTTATCGTTGTTTGCATGTTTTCAAATCATTCTTGTCCTTTTCTCATTATATTCGTTTTCAAGAATGCTAAAGCTCTTCCTTCTATTCTTCATCTTCTCCCCTTTTCTGGTTAGATGACTGTAGGAAAGGTCTCACGTGCAATTGGAGCTGTGGCTGAAGTTCTTGTCAATCTGTATGTGAATGATCACAGACCCAAGCCACAGCTTCCCCCCCTTGAACTGGTAAGACTAAACCCACAAAGAAACGATAACTTGACTTAAAAGAGTGGTGTTTCCAGAATGTCATCCTGACTTACGACCCTGGTTGTGGAGCACTTTAAGCTTTATGAAAGGTCTTAGTCTAACATTTATTAAGGAATCGAGTGCATATTGGCAAAATATGCTGATGTGTGGGTGTGCTGGAAATGTTGCTCACCACGTCTTCTATTTATATTTTTATTACTTGTCTGTATGAATTAAAACTTCAGGAGGCTTTTATTAAATGCAATTACCGGTACAATTAATCAGGGTGGCTTCTAAAGAAAGTTTTGTACAGTACATGTTCATGCGGTTATTTTTAACACACAAATGCTGAATCACCGTGCCTCATTTTGAAGAGAGCTGTTTTTAAACTCTGTCACTGTTCTGTATTGAATTCAGAAGCGGTCTCTGGGCAGAGCTACAGGTTCTTGCTCCATTCCTCATTCTTCATCTCCTGCCTCCACTGTTCAGAGCTGTCAGGTATTGGGAAGCGAAGTAAGGTGTCGTGTTGTGGTGATGACACTTACTTATTAGCACTAAACTCCAATTGCTTCTGCTTCATTGTAACTATCTGACCTGTTAACATCATGTTTTTAAAAATGCATTTGTATGCTTTTCCATTTGCATGGTTTTTCATTTGGAAAGTTTCATGTAGTTCATACTCTGAAATGATCCGTCACAGCAAAATGGATTACTAAGGGCACACTTGGAATAAGATTCTCAACTTCTAAGCACAAGAGTGTGACTTGTGACAATGACAATTGTGACTTGCACTTAACATTAAAAAATTGTTCCGAGGCCTTCTTTTGCTGGCAAATTAAAGATGAGTTGCGTGGGCGTGGACTGCGTGCTGGTGTCTGTATGTGCCTGGACTCTGCCAAGCCTACGCCTCCTGTCCCCCACACGTGGTACCCCTCGTGAGGCGGCGGGGGGAGGCAGTGGGCAGGGGGCATGTTGGTGGCTGTGGCAGAGACAGGATGCTCATCTGTACCGACCTATAACTAAGCAGAATGCAATCATGCAAAGTAACATCCTCATACCTGCCTCTAATAAGAAAGGGAAGCCCAGTGGCATCTAATCCATTTATAATTTATTTCTCTGTACCTTTTGCATGTATATACAGAGTGGATGAGATTTGTGGCAATTAAAGAATGTTAGTTGCCAGCCCACATTGAACAAAAACTTTCAAAATAGTTTAAAGTTTTTAATATGGATCATATTTAAAATCCAATGAGTTAAAAACATTCTGAATGTCAATGGTAGGAATGAAATTGATTTTTAAAACAAACCAAGCCCCAGCTTGGGCTGTAGTCTCAGGAGGAACATGGCTGAGAGGGAAGCGCATCTGCAGCTGATGTAAATGGTAGTTCAGACATTGGCATCAAAGACTCAGTTTTTCTTCCTGGACCTTAAAGCACGAGCCTACATTTTCCTCTGGAGCATAGATGAACTGAGACTTCAGGGTGTCTGTTTTCTTAGCTCCAAACGCGTGTCTGTTGTTCGAGGCTGGCAAGGTCTGCCTTTGCCCTCTTCTGAGAAGTACCGATGCCCGCAGCCGTGAGATCCGAGTGCCTGAGCCAGCACCGTGTAGGGTGGTGAATGAGCATTTGGGGCTGATGCTGCTCTTGTACCTGAGTAAACACAAGATGTCGGTGAACTCCCAGAGGGAAGCTGGATGCGAGTCCAGCTGAAAACTCACCCCTTAAAGTCCTTGTGATGTCCAATTTATGAATCGCTGCATAAACCTACAGAATTGCAGCAAATGAGTAATAAAAAAGCTGACTGACGCTTATTTTAATTGTGTGTGGAGGGTGCTGTGTAAAACTTGAGCAGCTAAAGCAGCTGCCCACTTAATAGGAATTTATATCTGGGTGTAGTGCAACAGCTTTATGTGCATTTCTATTTCTATCTTTCAACAGGGATCTCTGCGAAAAGAATTTCCTCAGTCTATCGGGGGGAGTGACATTTGTTATTTCTGCAAAAAACGGGTATATGTTATGGAGCGGCTGAGTGCAGAAGGCCACTTCTTTCATAGGGAGTGCTTCAAGTGTGAAATATGTTCTACAACACTCCGTTTAGGAATTTATGCCTTTGATGTTGAAGAAGGTAATATAGGAGCTATTTAAGAATATTTTAAAATGTCTGAGTATTGATGCTTTTAATGGAACTAGGGAGAAAGACCTGGCCGAGTAGCTCGGTCAGGAGGAGGTCTGCTAAGCATGTTGTTTGCATCCGTGCTGATCTTTGAGTCCTTGTACTTGGAGTTCTAGTCTTTCAAAAGAATCCAGTTATGACAGACCTGAGTTGAGTGATCAAAATGCAGTTTGTCCAATTACAGGTCAAAGCCGGGGGGGGGGAAGTGATTTTTCTCCAACAATACAGACTTATTCTTATCTCTCATTTATAACTGGCCATTAAATAACATGATCGATAAGGGTAAGCCACGTGGCAGATTTACATGGATGGGGGGTACATAGGTTATTTCTTTCAAGATGTTATGGCTCAGGAGTTGAAAGCAGTAGTACTGGCCAAGCAGCAGTGTAATTTATTCCAGTCTGCTGTAGAACGGGAGGTTCAGATCTTGGACATTCAATCCCACCTAGAGCCTGGAGATAGGGAATTATTTTTTGCCTTTTTTTTTTTTTTTAAAGTTTAGAGGAAAATTATTAAACTTATTTGAAATTCCCTTGCCACTTCCAAATGATTTGAGTAGATTGGAGCGTTAACCTGATCTCCTTCTACAAAAGGATTAAAGACTCAAGGCCAAAGGCAGTTCTTTTGCAGTCCAGAGAATCTTCTGCAAAGACTTTTTGAACTGATTATTTGAGTTTTTGCTGCTTGATGTCTTGTGTTCGTTTGTGACTTGGTATTTATAGAATCTTGTTTTTCTGCTATTTATTAATCTTAAACCTGTGTGGTAGATAAATGACCTTGCCTTATTTAACAAATGTGCAAATCTGTGTACTGTAAAAGAAACCCTTTCAGAGTTGTGAGCTATTCAGAGTCGGTGGCAAGTTTCCCATTCCTTTTGTTGCCCAACCATTGATTATCCTGATTTCATTTTTTTATAGATGTAACAGTGGGGTTTCAGTCCATAGATGTATAGATAAAATATCATATAATTTCTTTTTCCTCTTGTAGGTAAATTTTACTGTAAACCTCATTTTACGCACTGCAAAATCAGTACTAAACACAGAAAGAGAAGAGCAACATTACAGATCCAGGGAAAGGTACGTATTGCTTATATTACTAATGCAGGAAATGTTGAGGCAGCTTTATCTGGAGCAGAGTGCAATAGTTGTGCGTGTGTGTGTGTGTAAGATGTTTTCTACCTGATATCCAGAAGTAGCAAAATCAATACTAAAATATAACCTCCTGTTTCTGCGTATTTGGGATATTTATAGTCCGGTTCTCAGTGGAAATTAGCTTTTCCTATACAAAGTGAGGTTGAACTTAAGAGCAAATGGAAATGACAATATATATAAAAACTTGAAAACAGGAACAGAAACTGGACATTCGGTTTTTAGAAATATATTTAACATTTTTTAATGCTTTGTATAAGGAGGCAACAGAAGCATGGAAGAAAGAAGAACCCAAACCCACAGAGCCCACCACAGAAAGCACTTTGTCTACTGCTAGCAGTCCAGAGGACAGGTCCCCAGGTATCCTGACTTCCTTCTTTAGGGGCACGCTAAGCTGGCCCCTTCGGGTGACAAGGGATCTGCTTGACATTCCCAGACGCCTGTCTAACTGGATGCATGGTTTTCTGCACGCTGCCAATCTTCATTTCAGGGACAATGCATATAACTATACCTACTTGTACGAACTCTTGAGCCTTGGTGTGCCATTCCTCTGTGCTCTTCTAGAGGTACTTACTCACATGTACCGGGAAGCAGAGCTATCACTTGAAAATGTGCTTGAATGGGTGAAAAAATTCTATAGGGTTTAAATTCTTCTACGTGTCTTGCTCAGTTGTGCCTTTCAGATTTTCATAATTAACAGCCTCACTATTTTCTTGAGGGTTTTTCTTTGTTTATTTGGTTTTTACTTTTCATGCAATTTAATGTGTGACTTGAATGGTGGATTCCTTCTGATATAAGTGATGTGCAATCAAAATTTTCAATATAAAATGTACTGTATGCTAGAGCATGAAGGGCAGTGTCCAGACACATTTCCAGAACACGGAGATGGATGAAGGATATTTTGTAGATCTCCGCCCCCC